TTCATTTCATAGGATACAATGATAAAAGCCTCGCAAAAGTAACACTACAATCTACAAGTCTAGCGAACCAGCGTTGACAGAAGAAGAACAAAGTGCAAAGAAGAAGAAACATACGAGATGATTTCAATGCAAAATGAATGTAGCAAGGGGGCTATTTATATAGGCAAATAGGTGTCTTTTCGAATGGCCATGGAAGCTATTCGGATTCAAAAGACACATCTCTTCTATAAAAAATATGCAACTGAACAAACATGACTACTCTCTAGTCAACGAGTCCAAATTTTGGATTGAATGTAGTTCGGGTTTTGACGCAAGTAAATAAAAGGGGTCATTACCATTTTATTCGAACCAGATCCAAAGTTTGTTACCATTTATTTCTGTAATTCTCCTTTCATGTTTCTTTTCCAACAACATGTGCTATATTTGAATCTTGAATTTATCAAGTAAAAGAAAAATTAAAGGAAAATTAAAGAAATAATTATTTTTTCACTTCATTATCTTTTTATATTTTGCCTTTTATTTTCTTTCTTCCATAATTCCACTACAAATTTATGATTCGAACAACCTTTGTAATTATGGGCTATAAGTTAATTAGTGTCATTTTAGAGTTGCACTCTGTTAAAATTTTCTACCGTTGCATAACCTTTAACCATCCATATACACTTTAATGAAACAATATTATCAACTTATCTATTTGAACAAAATCTTAAAGAATAATTGGCTAAAACTTTATTGACCTCTTAAGAAAGGCTCATTCTATTAGGTGAAAATTGTCATGCTTCCCTCAAAACGGAAGAGGGTTTTGGGCAAAAAACATAGCTTACCTAAGATTCTAAGAATGTGAGAGAAGTAAAAAAAGTCTCAAGTTTGATGGAAACTATTGCATTTCAATAGAAAATCGATGCCTTACATTCAACTCTAATTTATAGAAACCACTATGGCCTACTTGTTTGCTTTCTTTGGTATATTTGGTACATTTGTTTATTTCTTTCTGTTTTTGCACTTACTTAAAAGTAAAAAGAACAATCTAAACCTATTCGTGAGAGAAACTAATGATGTTTTGTTTGTTTGTGTGATTACCGGTAAAGGGAGTGAATTCAAGCAATGACAAGTATTATATGTTTCTACCATTATGGCACAATTTTAAGTTATGATCCTAAATGAAACAAGGTTGTCTATTATGTCTCTCACACAGTACTATAAGGGCATGCTTATGAAGAAAATAAAAATTGCTAAAAAAACTATGTGCATCCCAGCACAACCAAGTGGCTCAATCATGGGTACACATAAGGCGATGGTTAAATACTAGTTAAATATTATATCAATATTATATATGGTGTAAAACTTAATTAAGCGATGAGATCTTTTTATCGTGGAGGTATCAAACAACTAGAAGTTGTGTTGAAAAAGAATTATATAGCAAATCATATTACTTGCTCGGTAGGTACGAAACCATGATTTTATCACCGGAGGGGCCAAAAGACAAATAAAAATTTTTGCCATATACATAAGCACACTTGTATGTACAATATAATATATAAATTATATCTATACACATAGAAAAATAACAATACCATAGACGCAATCTCTAATAGGATGAAAATGTTTTTTTTCGTGCAAAATAAAAAGAGCATGCAAGTGGGATAAGAATGAGATAAGTGTTTTTTATACTGGGAGGCCATTTTATATATGAAATGAAATATATATATATATATATATATTTAAATTACCATGACAAATCATATTTTTCACAGAAACAATGAGGCCATGGCCCCCCATAGTCTTATCCTAATTCCGCCCATGTTGCTCGGCAAAGTACCAATCTATTATAAATAATAGACTTACACCTCCATTGATTTTTGTACATAATATATTCATTAATATTTTTATAATCTTAGAGGACTAACTTGGGTGTCAAAATGCCCTGGCCGGAGCACTAACAGTGTCTTATGTGATGTCCCAGGTCGTTGACTCGACTTGAGTGTACCTTTTCAAACTTATTGACCTGCTTTCGAAGCCTTTGGAGTCTTGTGACGTGTTAGTAGTCGCACATTGAACCTTGTTTAGTCCTCTCCTTGATGTTTCACGAGTTGGGAAATTTCATTTCGGGTGTAAAGATGAAAAACAAGAATTTAGAAAACCTTGCACTTGGAAACCTATTCAGAGTTCAATCGCATGGGTAGCGGGATTGGGCCACACAAGAGACCAAGAATCAGCGGGTGTGGGAGGCACCACCACACGTGCAGCTATAGTAGGCGCACATGCGACCACTGCTCGAGCGGCAGTGAGTTCTGCACAAGCAACCGACTTTGATACTCATTGTGTTAGAGCTCCGCACGAGCGGCCAAACTCCAGTTCAGTTTCAATTTTCATGCATTCTAGCTACAATTTTGAAACCCTATCTTTTCCTTCATAACTTTTTGATCTCTCTCTCTCTCTCTCTCTCTCTCTACAAACACACCCAAACCCACACATTTCCTTTAATACACCTAGATCCTTTGAGATTTAGGTATTGAGGCCAAAGTGAAGAGTTTGGCGAGGGCTACATTTTGACCAATGAATATCAAATTTTGGCTTCATCAAATTTCAGGAGTTTTTGCTTCTCTTCTCTTCTAGCTTTTGAGGTAAAGATTTCTTTGTTTCTCTTCAATACCTTTCTATAAATAGATATGTGGTAGTTTATATTGCATGAAAAACTCGAGTTTGGCAAGAAATTTCGTAAAACATGTAGGGGAAGTTAGGGTTTTGAATTAAAGAGTTCAATCTCATGTTTTATTATTGATTTTGAATGAATGGACTAATAAAATATATTTTAACGGGTCAAATATGTAACATAATTTGGCCAAAGTGGGCCTATAACAAAAGAAAACAAAAAAACAAACGGTGGGAGGCTGGGAAATTTAAAGGGTGAATAGTAACTTTATAATATAATAATATCTAAAATATCTAAAATACATTAATTACAAGATAGTCAAAATACTATAAAAACACACCAAAACGTGTAAAATTATAAAATAGTAAAAATGAATGGACTAATAAAATATATTTTAACGGGTCAAATATGTAACATAATTTGGCCAAAGTGGGCCTATAACAAAAGAAAACAAAAAAACAAACGGTGGGAGGCTGGGAAATTTAAAGGGTGAATAGTAACTTTATAATATAATAATATCTAAAATATCTAAAATACATTAATTACAAGATAGTCAAAATACTATAAAAACACACCAAAACGTGTAAAATTATAAAATAGTAAAAATGAATGGACTAATAAAATATATTTTAACGGGTCAAATATGTAACATAATTTGGCCAAAGTGGGCCTATAACAAAAGAAAACAAAAAAACAAACGGTGGGAGGCTGGGAAATTTAAAGGGTGAATAGTAACTTTATAATATAATAATATCTAAAATATCTAAAATACATTAATTACAAGATAGTCAAAATACTATAAAAACACACCAAAACGTGTAAAATTATAAAATAGTAAAAATGAATGGACTAATAAAATATATTTTAACGGGTCAAATATGTAACATAATTTGGCCAAAGTGGGCCTATAACAAAAGAAAACAAAAAAACAAACGGTGGGAGGCTGGGAAATTTAAAGGGTGAATAGTAACTTTATAATATAATAATATCTAAAATATCTAAAATACATTAATTACAAGATAGTCAAAATACTATAAAAACACACCAAAACGTGTAAAATTATAAAATAGTAAAAATGAATGGACTAATAAAATATATTTTAACGGGTCAAATATGTAACATAATTTGGCCAAAACGAGTCTAAAACAATTTCGCCAAAACATGTGTAGGTTGGGATTAAAGCTTAAATTTCATCTTCCCACTGAGAATTTTATGAGATAGCGTATTCTTATTTTCATCATCAGGTAATATAAAAAAAAAAAGCGCCCAAGTTTTAGAGCCAATCAAAATGGGGTGTCTACACCGGCCTAGCTAGAAATAGGAGCATGGAAGCTGAAATCAAGGGTTCAAAAATGGCTACTAGTTTGAAAGTTTAGAAATTGTTGTATTTGCATCTAATGATTTTACATTGTCAAGTTTATGTATAAATAGCTTATGTATCAAAGTGATCAAAGTGTGGGGGTTGAGTAGAAGCATAAGAGAGTTAGAGAGTGTGAGTGTTTGAGAGAGAAATAAAATCCTTTTTTTTTTCAGATTATAAATCCTCTCTTTTGTGTTTGTTTTTGTGAACCACCATAAGTGGTTTGCACCCCACTGCCCCCAACATTTTGAAGTTGTAAATGGTTAAAGTAAAATAAAAAAAATAAGGTTGGGTTTAAGAGAGAGAGAGAGAGGACATAGTGAAACATAATGGGGCATGGGGCATTGGTAAATATTTATGAGGGATAAAGTTGAAAAAAAAAAAAAAAAACCTACAAAAAAAGAAGAGTTTTTGGAAATTTGAGGACATGCCCCTCCTAAGCCTATGGTACATACGCCGTTGGTTGTATGTGATGACTAGCTGGCGGCAAAGTTCCCCCCACTAGTCCTATTGTGAAATGTCCACTTTGGACATGTTGTTGTGTTGCCCACCATGTGCAATTCATGTTCAAGCACTGCTGTTACATGTTCCAAAAGGCTGTGAACAATTAGACAACTTAGACTGAAATCCAAAAGTTTAGGGATGATGTAGACAAAATGTAAAAGTGAAATTAACCCCTTCATAAAATGTTATTGACATTGTAATGTGAAGTCTAAAAAAAAGCAAACAAACAAAATAGCACAAACACTAGTGTCTTGCTTTCGATTAAAAGCAACAAAATAAATTGGAACACCCCCACTAGTGCCCTGCTATCAATTAAAAGCAACCAAATTAATTGGCACACCCGCCAGTGCCCTACTATTAATTAAAAGCAAGCAAATACAAACAAACAAATAAATTGACACACCCATCAGTACCCTGCTATCAATTAAAAACAACCAAATAAATTGGCACACCCGCTAGTGCCACTGCTAGGGAGGAGGGAGTTATACCTTTACTTGTACATAAAATCATGATGAAATTGAGGACCTGCAACAAAAGAAAATAGAACATGAACGTAGGAGTTAGTAAATAAGACAATGCTTAAGGAAATTTAAGATCATGGGAAGAAAGGGAAGAGTATATGTGCTACACGTTGCCTTCTCATCTTAACTATTACATTGAGGCAATCCTTATTTTGTATGCTAAGATATTAGATATTTCATGAAGTGAATATGAAACATTTCAAGTGTGCATTATAATAGAACAATTTTAAGAGAAACTGATAAAGAAAGAGAACCTACTCAATCATTTAAGGTAGTCTTCCATTCAGTGGAATTAAATGGAATGAAATGATCATTCCATCAAAGTATTTCATTCCCGTGTTTGGTTAGACTAAGGCCTCGTTTGGGAAGGCTCTGTTTTAGCCAAAAAGCCAAAAAGTCAGTAAATTAGCCAAAAAACCAACAACCCATACAAAAAAGTCAAAAATTTTCTTTTCTCTCTACTTTTTGCACATCTTTTCGTAATTAGCCAAAAAGTCATCCCAAACATACTAGTTTTTTTAGCTCATATTTTAGCCAAATAGCCAAAAAGTTACTAAATTAGCCTGTTCCCAAACGAGGCCTAAATATATAATGACAAATACATTACAAATAGAATAATCTTTCACCATTTTAAGGGCATGGTTATTCCATGAAAGTCTAAGGAACCGCCATTCCATTCCATTCTATCTTATTTCAATGAACCAAATAGAGCACAAGTACTCTTTCTTTCAGTAGAATGATTGGCCAAACTATCTTATTGCCTCATTGGTATACTTCAATCATAATGAAATGACAAGTGCCCAAATCGTTTAAGTTTGGAATTGCGCTATCAAGCATCTCAAGCGAGTACTTTGAACCCACAAGCGATGATGTGCCTCACTTTGCACAATTACTTGACACTCTTGGGCTAGCACTAGTTAGGACCAATGGCAAGAAGTCTCGGTCTAGGAGGGTGGGATTTGCACCTAGGGGGGGTGGCAGTCATAGAGGTTCAGGGCTAAGAAAAGGGAAGAGGGAGCTAAGAAACCTTGAAAGTAGCATAAATTATGAGGGACGGGGAAAAGAGACAAGGGGTGATGGTGGTTCTAGACGAAGCTTTTAAGTTGGAATGTTAGAGGCCTTCAGTCTCGTAGGAAAAGGGTGGTAGTTAAAGAGGCTCTGAAAATTCACCAACCGGACATAGTAATGTTTCAAGAGACAAAGTGTGAGGAGTGTTATAGGGTTTTTATTAGGAGTGTTTGGGGAACTCAATTTAGAAGATGGGTTGTTTTGCCTTCTAGGGGGAGATCAAGGAATATTTTGATTGTGGGATGAGAGAGTTGTATTGGAGTATGAGGTAGTTGTTGGGGTATTTTCATTGTCTATTAGGATTAGAAATAGGGATAACAAGGAATGGTGGCTGACAGGGGTTTATGGTCCTAATAGACATGGGAATCATTAGGAATGGTGGGATGAGTTGGTGGGGTTATTTGGGCTTTGTTCCCCTCATTGGTGTGTGGGTGGGGATTTCAATATGGTTAGGCTGGCTTCGGAAAAACTCAATGGGGATTCCACAAATCGGAGTATGCGGGACTTCGATTCTTTTATAAGGGAGTGTGAGTTGATTGATCTTCCTTTGAGTAATGCGCGGTTTATATGGTCTAATCTCTAGGAAAATCAGGTGTGTTGTAGGTTGGATAGGTTCCTTTATACTTTAGGGCGGCAGGAGTTATTTCCGGATGTTAGGCAAGAGGTTGAGCCAAGAGTTGTGTCAGATCATTGTCCGGTGATTCTTGAGAGTTGTCCTTTTAAATGGGGTCCCACCCCATTCAGTTCGAGAATATGTTGTTGGAAAATCGATCTTTTAAGGAATACTTTAGGGAGTAGTGGGACAATGGTAGAGTCCACGGGTGGGAGGGTTTTAAGTTTATGCAAAAGTTGAGAGGAGTCCAGGATAAATTAAAAGTTTGAAAACGTGAAGTTTTTGGGGATATAGGTGACGTGAAAGCGGGATTAGTTCAGGATATTGAGCAATTAGATGTGAAGGAGGCCGGGGACGGTTTATCTGGAGTGTTGAGGGATAGGAGGTCAATGATTAGAATAAAGTTGGAAGAGATCATCTTTAGGGAACAAATTTTTTAGGGTCAAAGAGCTAAGTTGAAATGGGCTAGAGAGGGTGATCAATTCTAATTTTTATCATAGAGTTGCGTCGGGGAGGAGGAAGAAGAGTTTTATTAAAAATTTGGTGGTGGGTCAGGGTGAGGTTGTGTGTAAGGAGGAGCTTATTGTTAAGGAGATTTTTAATTTCAATTCAAATCTATATTCTGATGGGGGTGTGGATCGTCCAGGGATTGAAGGCAACAATTGGATTCCAGTGGAGGTAGCGACAGCTGGTTGGCTTGAAAGGCCCTTTGATGAAGTTGAGGTGAGACCGACTGTATTTGAGTGTAAGAGAGATAAGGCTCCAAGCCTGGATGGTTTTTCAATGGTTGTATTTCAAGATTGTTGGGATATTGTAAAAAAGGATCTATTGAGAGTGTTTGGTGAGTTCTTTGCGAGTGGGAAGGTTAATTTGTGCACTAATACATCCTTCATTTGTCTAATTCCCAAGAAGGAGAAATCGGTCAAGATTGGGGATTTTAGACCTATTAACCTGGTTACATCTCTCTATAAGATTTTAACAAAGGTGCTTTCTAGGAGACTTAGAGTTGTCCTTAGGGAAACTATTTCTTCGACACAAGGTGCGTTCCTGCAGGGTCGGCAGATATTGGATGTGGTCTTAGTGGCTAATGAGGTTGTGGAGGAGTATAGGGGATTACGGAAGGAAGGTGTTGTATTTAAGGTAGACTTTGAGAAGGCTTATGACCATGTTAATTGGGGCTTTGTGGATTTTGTTTTGGAAAGGAAGGGGTTTGGAGTTAGGTGGAGAATGTGGATTTGGAGGTGCTTGTCATCATGTAATATGTCGGTCATTGTGAATGGTAAGGCTGGGGATTTTTTTTAGGCACCCAAGGGTCTAAGGCAGGGTGATCTTTTATCACCATTTTTGTTTATTTTAGTTGCTGACGTGTTGGGTAGGATTATTGATTTAGCTAAGGATAAGGGTGTCATTGAGGGGTTTGTGGTGGGAAGGGATAGGATTAGAGCTACTCATTTACAATTTGCATATGATACTATATTCTTTTCATCAAAGGAGAAAAATAAGGTGGGGAATTTGCTAAAGATTCTGAGAATTTTTGAAATTGTGTCGGGCCTCAAGGTCAATCTTAGCAAGAACAGTGTAGTGGGTATTAATTTGGAAGATAGCTATGTGCATGGGGCGGCAGATATGTTGGGATGTTCCATTGATTCATTTCCTCTCAAATACTTGGGGCTTCCATTGGGAAGAGATCCTAGATTGTTGTCTTTTTGGGAACCTATTCTTGTCAAAATTGGGAAAAGAATGGATGGATGGATGGAAGCGAGCTTTGTTGTCTAAGGGGGGAAGATATACGTTGGTACAATCCATATTAGGATCTGTTCCTATTTATTTTCTGTCCCTCTTCAAAATTCCGGTCAGCATTGCGAGGAATATTGAGAAATTGATAAAAGATTTTTTTGGGGAAGGGTGTGAAGAGGGCAAAAGGGTTCATTTGGTTAGGTGGGAGACTGTTTCTCTTTCTAGGGAAAAAGGTGACTTGGCTATTGGGAACATCGTTGCTAGGAATATTGCTCTCTTAAGCAAGTGGTTACGAAGATTTTCTATTAAAAGTGACTTGCTATGGTGTTCAGTTATTAAAAGCAAAAGTACGGCGTTCAATCTAATTGTAGAGATTCTAATGTGGTTAATAGAGGCAATTGTCGTTCACCGTGGAAATCCATTTCTCATTTGTATCCACTTGCGTCTAATTTCTCTTCATTGAGAGTTGGGAATGGGGTGAATATTCGTTTGTGGGAGGATGTTTGGTTAGGGGATATTTCTTTTGATAGATCTTTTCCTCTTCTTTACCGATTGGTTCGTTCTCGAAATGTTTCAATAGCGCCGGTGGCAGGCTCTTCTATGGATCCTATCTCTTGGAATTTTGACCTCATTAGAAACTTGAATGATAGGGAGGCGGTGGAGTTGGCATCTTTGTTGGTAGTGTTTCAAGGGGTCTCTCTTTCTTCATCTTCTGGTATTAGGGTGTGGAATCTTGTTTCCTCAAAGATCTTTTCATGTAAATCCTTTTTTGATAAGCTCATTGATAATCCTTTTATTCCATTGTTTCCTTATCATAAGAAAATTTGAAAAGCGGATGTCCCTCATAAAGTGAAGTTTTTCATGTGGTCTTTGACTCAAAATGGTGTCACAACTAATGATGTTTTCCAAAGGAGAAGACCTAATCACTCTCTTTGCCTTCAATGGGGTGTGATGTGTAAGAGAAACTTGGAGGTAGCGGATCATCTATTCCTTCATTGCCCAATGGCTTGTGTATTATGGCAGCATCTTTTCAACTTATGTGATGAGCAGTGAATTGCTCCGCAAGACTGAATTCAAATGCTTCTTATTCGGTTTATAGGGTTTGGGAGAACCAAGAGAGCAAAAACAATGTGAACCAATATTGTTTTTGGTATTTTTTGAGCTATATGGATGGAGAGAAATGCTAGAATCTTTGATGGGAAGGAAGCAAGTGTAGAGCTTTTGTGGGATAGGGCGGAATATTTGGCACCTTTTTGAGCATCTGTATCCCCTCCTTTTAAAGGAGTCCCTTTATTCTTAATCTCTAGGGATTGGGCTGTTGTTTGCCATCCCTAGGGCTAGGAGTTTTGTGCTTTTGTTTTGCTCTCTCTTTCTCTTTCTCTTTCTCTTTCTTTGTATGAAGACTTCTTGTCCTCTTTCGCTTCTCTTTTTTAATAAGATTTATGTTGATGCTCAAAAAAAATAATAATAATTATAAAACAAAAAAGATCAAGGCAACGACATAAACGATATCTTGAATATTATGTGAATTAAGATTTGCTAGAGAATTTTATCTATAAAGACGGAAAAATAGTTTAAAAAGGGGGGGAAATTCAACATAACATTTGTAAGGACAATGATTTCACCCAAATTTTTGTTAAAAGGTACAATTTACGATAATTTGCGTTTGGATCTTGATTTTATTGAGGAAATATGTGAAGAAAAAATTGAATGAAATATAAGTCGATTTTTTTCACCACGCTACCACACCATAAATAGAAACAAATGCATCCAAATATTCTACCCAAGCATCAAAAGAGAAATGTTGACAGAACAAATACAGACAAAGAAGTTAACAATTATCATGTCATTGGATTCTTCTCTCTCTCCAAATAGAAAATTTGCAAACCCAATATATCTTGCCGTATGTGATTGCCATAGTTTCTATGCTTGCTCTCTTCTTCCTCCTTGTAAGTTAACGACCAAGATAAAGAGCTCCTAGAAGAAAACCATGGGCCAACAATCGATTACAACCACCACTCTACCATCAACGCCGCAACTCCACCACTATCACCTAATGTTACTCGTACTTCAATTAATCGTGTTCATTTATTCAACTTATATCTAATTCAACTCAATTAATTTAAACCCGTTTACTAAAAGAAGAGCCTTAATCAAATGTGAGTGTCATTTTTACTTGTAAATAATATAAACATTTTCATGGGGAAAAATTGGGCGATAATGCCACAAATAAAAGTGATGGTGCCACACATATTTATACAAAACAACATACTTACAAGAAATTATTTGGTGGTCTTGAAGCATTACTCCACACATACACTTGTCATATCGTCCCAAAAGACACACAAAAGTGGTGTGCTCCACTATTTTGTAGCCAATACAATTCAAGTTTTGGCATTGAATTGATTGCCCCTAAAGCAAAATATAATTTTTTTCATATTTACCCTTCAGATAAAAATGTTTGGATTACCAAAAGTTCTGGTATTCATATCACCCATCAGTTGATCACTATAATCCATGGTCTCTATTTTGCATTCTCTCATCTTCTCTCTCTACTCTTTCTCTATAGACCATCACAAACCTATATATTTTTCTTCTTTCTTTACTCTTTTTTCTTTCCACACTCTGTACAGACCATCACTCACCTCTCTATTTTTTTTCTTCTCCTCTTCTCTTCCACATCTCTCCAAAAATGTATCACTCACCATGAGGGATTTTCACATCATCAAAAGTCATAACATAATTGCAGGATTTCCTCAATCACCCAAGTCAATTTTCCATGTAAAGCCTTGCACAACACACTGCCAAGCAATGGCCAGAAAACTTCAACCCACCACGTTCTACAATACATACTGCAAAAGCTAGGCACTTCCACACACCAATGGCACTACTGTAGCTACTAGTTCTAATGATAGTCAACAACACACACCAACAAAAATGCCAAAGAAAGATAAGGAGATTGCTCTTACAAGTGCCCCCATTTCCATTCCCCTACCTCTACCGGACTAGTCAATACCCAATTAACATTCATATGAATTACCCATAACCAAAATTGGACAATACAAAAAATAAAAAATAAAAAAGGGAAAAAAAAGCAAGAGATAGAATGAGAATTACAGTGAAAGGAAAGAAAAAGGTGATACTTATAGCCATTACACTAGGAGGTTCTGGAAATTACATTTTCCTCCCAAAAGGGGGGGGGTTCAATTGTTAGAAGATAAATCTTTCAAAAAATCAATTTTAACTCTAATGTGTAAACCAACACTGCCTCTGAGAGTACTTCCCTCAAGCAACCTACCAAGCATATTCAAAACACCAACATTATCTCTCATAGCAATTCCATCAAACAACTAACAAGCATGTTCAAATCACCTGTACAATTGAGAGACCTAAGTCTCATCTCCACCAACTCATGTATACATATTTAGATATATTGCATATATACATACACACACAAACATTGTGAATCAAAAGATACAAACAATCTACTCACAATGAGAGAGAGAGAGATGAAAAAATTGAGATACAAATGAGCTTAAGCATGAATAGAAATCGACAATTTTAATAAAATATCTGTACTTCACCCTACCCCTTAGGTCTTAATCTAATTCCAATAATTAATTCTAACATATATTACGCAAAGTCAAACCCCGAATCCCCTTCATTTCAAATATTTTTTATCCAGATGCAAGGGATTTTTTTTTTTTCTTCTTTTTTTTATTTTATATTTTATAGATAAAGGGCGTACCCAGTGCACGAAACTCCCGCTTAAGCAGGGTCTGAGAAAGGGTTGATGTACATAGCCTTACCCCCGCAAACGGAGAGATTGTTTCCGCGACTCGAACCCGTGACCACCAGGTCACCAAGGGGTAGCTATTTTATATTTTATAGATATTATTAATAATTCTAAATGGAAGTATCAATCTTATAATTGTATGGATATGTAATTCCAGCTCTTCCATTGTACATAAAACACAAAGTAGTAGCCCTCCCATGTCCCTATCCTTGTCATTCTTTCTTCAAAGTTTACCATGTGGATACGACCATAATTGGTCATACCATCTCCCTACCCAAGTCTATTACTTTTGAGCCATGTGTACAAGATAAGGCACATGGGAAGGGTATGGCACCTAAAATTTTTACTTGTGAAACTAATGGGGTTGGACTGCCCATAATTTACTATTAAACTTAACTCTTTAACCACCCCAAACCCAATTGTTGGCTTACTTGAAGCATTTCATCAAGCAATTCAAACGACTTGCCCACTTTTCATTGAATTTTTTTTATCTTAGGTCAACTTCCCTATTTTGGAAAACAAATTTTTATATCACACCACTCATCAGTTATTGCAACGCAAAGAGCAACATTAACTTATAATAGAACTCATTTGAAATTGAGAAAAATCCAAACCCCAAACCCCATTTGAAATTAAGAACATTAAGCCCTCTGTTTGAGGGTTTTTTTAAGGTGAAAAAGTTTGACCCAATTGAATTTTGCAATCTTTTCACAGAAAAATAAATAAATAAAAATGCTTGCAGATATGTGCATAGAAAACACCAAAAAGAGAAGACCACATAAACAACAACTCAGAGGAAATTTATATAATGGTCTCCAAAATCACAAATTCATACTAATAAAAATCAAATATTACATTCAAACTTTACCCAATACCAAAAGGAACCCAATACACAGGACAAAAGATATGAAGAAATAACCGATTAAGGGGAAATAAACTGAATTGCAAAGAGGATAGGGTTTTAGGGATTTCAAGCCATACCTCTTCAATGAGAATTCTTTCGAACCAATAAACTACTGGAGAAGACAGAGATCTTCAAGAACCCTTCGAAAGCAAGAGACGAGAGTGAGAGAAGACAAAGAGGAAGAGAACGGACAGAAAAATCAGAGAGGCAGAGGGAGAAACCAGAGATTCGGAGCAACGACGATAAAATTTTAGGGTTTTTAGAGCCATACCTCTTCAATCCTCGCACCGCCTGCAACTTCGATCTCCACGAATGGAAATAGGGAAGAAGACCAGAGAAGAGAGAGAGAGAAGGAATCAAGCAATAAGTAGAGAGAATTAGATGGGAAAAGTTTCAACCTGTTTATCATGTGAAATGTAAAAACATGTTCCCAGAAAAAATATATAAAAAATTTTGGGCTTGGGGGAGATATATTTTTTTTTAAGTTGGTTCGCTAATTATTTGAAAAAAAATAAAATAATTATGTATGAGATATAATATTTTATTTTATTAAGTATCGGGCAAATAACTTGAAAGTCGTATTTAAGAGAGAATAAGGCCTCGTTTGGGAACAGGCTAATTTAGTAACTTTTTGGCTATTTGGCTAAAAAGGTAGGTAAAAAAAACTTGTATGTTTGGGATGACTTTTTGGCTAATTACGAAAAGATGTGCAAAAAGTAGAGAGAAAAGAGAATCTTTGACTTTTTGGTATGGGTTGTTGGCTTTTTGGCTAATTTAGTAACTTTTTGGCTAATTGGCTAAAATAGCCTCTTGCCAAACGAGGCCTAAGTCTATTTTAGTTTCACTATCTTTTAAATACTTTCAAAAATTCACTACACGTTTTTCATTTTCATTTTTCCTTGTGCATTTGTTTTTCTCTACTTCTTTCTTTTCATGATTTCCGATAACCATGCATTGGTTATTCTCTTTCTCTTTCTAATATATAGTCACCGATGACCATCATTGCTTGGATTTCACCGGCAACCACCAACCATCAACTCCTTACTTCATTCTCACTAACAGTGAAAGAGATGAATTTCTAGTGAAGAAGATGATGTTGATCTACTCAGATCTACATCAAATCTGAGTAAATTTACATGAGATTTGACTAGATTTAAACCAAAAATAATTGCCGGAGTACAATATTCTCTCTATATTTGTTTTTCTTTATTTTCTCTACTACACACTTCTATTTTTCTGTTTTAATGGAGAAAATTTTTAAGTTTTGAATAAGTTATTTTTAAGTTTTAGTTACAGGCGGTAAAACTGTAGAATTTTACAGTTTCTATTTTTTTTTTTGTACTAAAATGAATCATGCTTTAAAACTATAAAATTTTACAGTTTCATAACATTCTTTAGAACTGTAAAATTTTACAATTTCATAACATGTTTTTCAGTTTGATTAATAAGAATAAATGCTTAATAGAATCATACTTTGAAACTGTAACATTTTATAGTTTCAAAACTTACTTTTCAGCTTGATCAATATTGGAGATTATTTGTTTAACCCTTACAAATATTAAAAAATAATATATATTTTTTCTCATTATTGTTTGTTGATGTTATGTATCAATCACACTTCATTTATTTAGTGAATCAATCACACTCTCTTCACTTAGTGTATCAATCAAACTTTTTTCATTTTCTGTATCTATCACACACATTCTCATTTTCTGTACCTATCACACATATTCTCATTTTCTGTATTTATCACACACATCCTCATTTAGTGTATCTATCATACTCTGTTCACTTAGTGCATCTATCACACTTTGTGTTCACCTTTTGTGTATTCATCACACCTGTTCACTAAGTGCATCTATCACACTTCGTGTTCACCTTTAGTGTGTCTATCATACTTGTTCACTAAGTGCATCTATCACACTTCGTGTTCACCTTTTTGTGTATCCATCATACTTGTTCACTTAGTGCATCTATCACACTTCATGTTCACCTTAAGTGTATCTATCATACTCGTTCACTAAGTGCATCTATCACACTTCGTGTTCACCTTTTGTGTATCTATTATACTTGTTCACTAAGTGCATCTATCACACTTCGTGTTCACCTTTTGTGTATCCATCACACTTGTTCACTTAGTGCATCTATCACACTTCGTGTTCACCTTTTGTGTATCCATCACACCTGTTCACTAAGTGCATCTATCACACTTCGTGTTCACCTTTTGTGTATCTATCATACATGTTCACTAAGTGCATCTATCACACTTCGTGTTCACCTTTTTGTGTATCCATCACACTTGTTCACTTAGTGCATCTATCACACTTCGTGTTCACCTTTAGTGTGTCTATCATACTTGTTCACTTAGTGCATCTATCACACTTTGTGTTCACCTTTTGTGTATCCATCACACTTTGTTCACTAAGTGCATCTATCACATCTTGTGTTCACCCTTTGTACATCTATCATACGTGCTTACTCACTTTGTGTACCTATCACACATTCGTTTTGTGTATCTATCACACATGCACACTGTATTCGCATCACACATGCACACTGTATTCGCAGTGAGAATTGCAATAATTCTCTTACACCCTTTATGCATGTAATGTAGTTAAATTTGTGTATTCTTGCTTAAAACTGTTGCATGTTATGCTTCGTTACAACTGTCTTTACATGATCATAAGTTATGTTTGGCACCGTGCATTGTCCTTTGCATCTTGCCCCTGCCTGCGGGCATGCCTGCGGGCACATCTTTGTTTATCTCGTCTGTTTGTCTAAGTCTTCGGCCTTGTCAAAAATGGGTCGTCTCTAGGCTTTGACACTCACTCCCGTCACTTATGACTTCCGAGTTCTGTCAAAAATGGGCAACTGTAGACACCCCATTTTTGACCGGCCTTAAGACTCAGACGTCACCGGTTGAGCACTCGGTGATGATGTATTTGGTGCTCGTTCTGAGGTTGCGGAGTCTCGGCTGAGAGCCTTGCCTCCAGACTTCGGGGATCTTTTGTGTTTTGCCTCGGTTTGTGAACCAGGTCCTGTTTTCTCTGTTTTCTCTTCTTGAACGGAGGGAGAGGTCTCGTAGACCATCTCTCAGTGGCCGTAGGCTACGTTTCGTGGTCGTAGGCCATTTTTCCCGTTTGGAGACCAGTTACCAATTTTTCGAAGCCGTCAGCTGTGTGCCTCGATTCGGGACCACTTAACTACCTCCGTTTGCTCTAGTTTTTGGCACACACCTTGTTTCCTCTCCCTAGAGGGACACTGTGGCCCAAGAGACTACCTTCGTGGTCGCACGCCACCTCCGGTGCCTAACAGCCTGTTTTCGGGGCCCCGAGCCGCGTGTTTTGGCCCCCGAACCCTCGTTTTGCATCGGTTAGGGTTCATTTTTGGTATGGACCCTATTTTCATTGTTTGGAAGGTGGTAGGAAGGTGGAAGACCAGCAATTCTTTTGAAAACCATTTTCTCTCTCCTCCAGCCGATTTTCTTGATAGAAAGCTGGTTTTTCTCACTTTTTGACATTAATTTCTGGTCTCCCATACCACCATTGTGTTGTACTCATCTAGGAGGCCACTAATATCGGTAGGCAGACCAACTTTTCTTTCTGACCCTTTTGAACCTTGCTAGAAAGCTGGTTTTTCTCTCTCTTGGGTCACATTTTCTGGTCTCCCACCATACAGCTGTATTCTACTCATCTAGGAGGCCACCTTTCTGGTATGGCCGACCAGCATTTCACCTTGACTCTTTTGACCCCTGGTCGGCCAACCAAGGGAAGTGGTCGGCCGACCACCTTAGCTGGTCGGCCAGCCTTCTGCTTTTTGGCTTTCTTGAGTGCAATATAACTGTGTCAGCTGTGTAGCACTTGACCCACTGTCCGAGATTTTAAACCTTTTGTTGGTCTTTTTAAGTTGGTTTTGACCCTTTTGCTTAGCTTCTTAGAGAAGCTTGACTCTTTTGTCAAGCTTCTTGAGGAAGCTTGACCCTTTTGGTCTAGCTTCCTCAAGAAACTTAACCCTTTTTGGTTATGCTTCTTTGAGAAGTTTTGACCCTCTCTTGAGTCTTCTCCAAGAAGGCTTGGCTCTTCTCCTCTATAAAACCAACACTCCCCCTCCATTTGCAAAGGTTAGAAAAACCAGCCAAGGCATATGCACTCCACCCTCCATATCTCTCTCATCCAAGCTCAAATACCCCATTGTTCTTGGCCATTACACCACACCTCATAGCCTACCACCTCCACCATCCATTCAAGCACCTTGGAGCTGATTTTCAGAGGTTGAAGACTCACTATTTTGGTCTAGAAGCTGCTGGCCTTCTTCTTTTCAAGGGTAAGTCTCCATTTCCCTCATTTTGACATTATTTTGCTCCATAGTTTAGCCCTATTTGCAAGCATTTTTGGACTTCGACATAAACTAAAAAAGGTCTTTTTTTGAGCTCCTCTTCAAGTTTGTTCAAGGTCATTTTTTTGTTCGGGGTCATCTACCCCCTTTCATGCTTCATTTCCTCATATTTTGAGTCATGCATTTAAGCATTTGCATTGGCCTCAGTTTGGCCTTTTAGCCACTGAAATCCAGTGGATTTTTAGTGGCTTAGATGTGTTTTTGAGCCCTAAAATCAGAGAGGGGTGACCCTCTCACCCTTTGTTCTCTTTACTAGCCTTGTTGGCCTTCCAAAGGAGCTCCATTTTGCATGTTAAGAAGTCTTGTTTCAAGCCATTATTTGTGAGTTTCAAGGTCTGCCTTGACTCTGTCCAGAGCCCTTTTGGCCATATTTTGTGTCTTTGATGCGTGTGTAGAACAATCTTATTCAAGGCCTTTCAAAGGGGCCTTTATTTGCATGTTTCCTAGACCCCTTTCAGGCTCTTTTTAGTGGGTTTTAGGACCCTCAAAACCTCTGTCCGGAGGTGTTTTTGGCATTGTGTGTGTCCATCTTGCATGTGTAGAACAACCCCCTTATTGGCCTTTCAAAGGAGCCCATCATTCTTGCATGCATTGACTGAGTTTCAGTGGTTATTTGGGCATATTTTGGCATTGCATACTTCTATTTTTGGCTGGTTTGGTGAGCCTTCAAATGCTCCATATAGTTGTAATGTAACTCATGGTTCACTAGCTTTCTTTGCATGCTTTGTTGACCCTTGATTTTAACACTTTTTGGCCATGCCTTAAACTGATATTGTGCTTATTTTGAACTACCCTAACTTTGTTTTTGGGTCTAATGGTTGAATAATGTTGGTTTTGCATGCTTGTAGTTCAATAACCATGCTTAACTTTGAGTTTCGAGGTTCATTCCATGCATATACTGAGGTGTGTTCATGTTTTGGGCTCATTATACATCATATTTCAGAGCTTGTTTGAATGCCATATTGCCATGTTTTGTACTCTTTAAATGTGTTTGAGAGTCGGACTTGTATGCCTTGTTTTCGGACCATTGAATGAGCTCCATTTCGT